AAGTTTTCTAGTAAATACATATCTATCTCAGGACTTGGTCTAAATGACTGGATAAAATAAAATTAAAAATAAAAGTTATGCGTTGCTTTATTACTCATATTTGTACTAGATCAGGTACGCATTTTTTTTTTTTTTTTTTTTTTTTTTATAAAGAAAACATTCTCGCGTATTATCCATTCCTCTCTCTTCCCTAGCGTAGAAATGTTTTTTTTTTTTTTTTTGCTTCTATCTAACGGTCAGGACAAAAGAAAAAAAAAAAGAATAAAACAAAAAACAATCTCACGGTTGTTTTTTGTTTTTTGTTTTTTTTTTTTTTTCCATCTCGTTAAAACTATATAGGCGCGCGTGTTTTTTTTTGTTTTTTTTTTTTATAGTTATAATTATTATTGCAACGGTCAAGGGTTTGTTGTTATTGCTGTTGCTCTGTTGCTATTGCTATTATCATCATTATTAATGTTAATTACCTTCCTTTCTTTCTTTCTTTCTTTCTTTCTTTCTTTTTTTTTTCACACGCCTATCCTTGTGGGAAAAAAAAAAACAACAACAAATTATTAGGATAAACAATCAAATGGGGGGGGGAGGGGAGGGGAGGAAGGAAGATGGACACATTCTTTTGTTTCCCAACTGTCCATTTCCCCTACTGTTGTGATGTGTCTAGGTAAAATATAATATATACATACATATATATATATACAATATAGCCATAGGAGCGTGAGAAGAATTTAAGCAAAATAAATAATAAAACATATCCATTCATCTTTCAATCTTTTAATAAACCTGAAAATAGATTTCTTCCCAGGAAACAGAATTGTTGATTTGTTTTGTTTGGGGGAAAAAGAAATAATGAAAGAAGAAAGAAGGTGCTAACGGTATAGGATAGTAATAGCAATAGCACAACAGAGGAAAAAAAAACAACAATAATAGCAGCAACAGCAGCAGCAGCAGCAGCAACAACAATAGTATCCTGGGGACTTGTCTACAACTCAACATGTGTTTAAAGTGGAAAAAGATAGGGAAAAAAAAAAAAAAAAAAAAAAATCACGATTCCAGACCGTTTTTGCAGAGAAGAATGAAAGAATAGTGCAGATGCAGGTAGGTACAATATCAAGCATGTGGCGGCGCATAGTCTATTCAACTTCTTTTTCGTCCTCCCTTCTTCCTCTTCCCCCCCACCATTCCTTTTTGTAATCACCTGTATTCTTTTTTTTTCCCCTCGCCTCCTCTCCACCCCCTTGACTTTTTACAAATTAATCTTGGAGGCGAGGCAATTCTCGGGTTAAAAAAAAAAAAAAAAAAAAAAAATGTTTGGGATCCAATCAAATCTGACTGAGCACGCGCTAGGTAACATGTACATGTAGGAAGAATAAAATAAAAAAATTTGAAGGTTGAACAATGTCACGCGCACTTGCTTTTTAAAAAAAGAGCCAACCTGGTTGGTTACGTTTTACTTTTTTGCTCTCAACGTTCTACAATGTTCATGTTCATGTTCATGTTCATGTTCATGTATGAGGATAGAAGGACAAGGAGACAAAGGGCAAAAAGGCCCATTTGTGCCCATATATATATACCATAGATGACAACACATGTAATCCCTGCAGAAAGTCGACATTTTTTTTTTTCTTTCTTTTTCTTTAAACAGTCTGCATTGTCCTGCATATTCTGTGTATATATGTAGACAGATGATTAATACTTTAGAAACTCACTCCTCTCTCTCTGTCTCTTTGTCTCTCCCTGTGTCTATTATGCTAATGCACGCCATCTTTCATTTCCACAAAGTGCTCTCAATGTTCAATCTTCAAATGTCCAATGTTCATCTGCATCGCCTCACAAAGATAAAATCTCGTCTAATGTAGTCTCGTCCCACAATATAATCCTGGAATTGCATATTGTCATCAACCTCATTTTACATGAATATTGTTATCACTTTTTTTTTTTTTTTTTTTTTTTTTTTTTTTTTTGTATAATAATGTATATATTAGAGTGCATTGGTATTATTTGCTATCTGTTATTTGTTATTTGTTATTGATTGTGCTTAAATTGCATTTAAACATAAGAAATCTCCCGTTTGTTTTTCCACATTGGAATAAATCCCCTGGCTGGCAACGGGGCAGGGGCAGGGGGAGGTGGAGGAAATATCATTTGTCTTTCTCTATCTTCTCTCACGCCCAGACCCCCCTCACCCTTTTGTATTTGTTGTAGATATATACACATATATATATATAAAGTTGTCTATTTGTTTTAATTGAATTGAGGCAGATATATAAAATAAAAATAAAACTTTATTATGCAAAAGGAGACTTATTTTCATGAACCCTTGCATCAAGGTTTAAACAAATAAACAAACAGCAAAAAAGAAAGTGTGTATATATATTTGTATGAAAGAAAGAGAAAGAGAAAGAGAGAGAGAGATAGAGAGAGATAAAGAGAAAGAGAGAAAGAGAGCAAACATCTTCAAAACTTTTTTTTTTTCTATTTAGAATGGGAGCACAAGCCTACAAAATCTTTTTTTTTTTTTTTATTTTTTTATTTACTCCGCATTATCATTGGCTCCCATCTCCAGGTTCGCTCCCAGGGTCTCCCTTGAGAAAGAAAGCAACAAACAACAAACAAACAACATCAACATCAACATCAACATCAATATATATATAATATAATATATATATATATACATGTATTTGAGCAACCAACAAACCACAAGAAATTATAACGCGATCTGAAAGGGTCAAATAAAAAAATAAAGAAATAAAAAACCAAAATCAGGGTGCAATTCCATACGCCATTGCACATTTATACACACACCACACATTCTAATGACAACATCCATTGCATTGTATACACAATTATTGAATACTCTACATTCATTATTAGAGTCGTTATATACAATGCAATACAATTCAATCCATTACAATCCAATGTGCATCCTCCAAACTTGTCTACCCCTGTCTTCCCCTCTCTCCCCATCCTTGTACCTGTGGACATCATTCCTCACCTTTTCATACATGCCATCAGGGCTCCTTTTGCTCTATTGCTATACATCCTTCCTTGCTAATCCTCATAAATCCTTTTTTTTTGTATAAATACCATCAACCCACCCCACTTTTTTTTTTTTTTTTTTGTTCTTCACTCTTACAATCAAGTTCTCTCCTTTCCACAAAAAAAAAAAAAAAAGCCTCTCTCTCTTTTCTTCTTACACTCACACTCACACATCTCACCATGAAGTTCACCGTCATCCTCGCTGTCTGCGTTGCCATTGTCCAGGCTGCTCCTTTGATCAACAACGGAGGCAAGGCTATCCCCGATTCCTACATTGTGGTCCTCAAGGAGGGTAACAACGTCGAGTCCTTCCAGGCCAAGTTCGATGACATTGCCCGCCGCCAGAACGGTCGCGGTCGCAAGCCCACCATCCACCGCCGCTATGCCAAGATCCCCGGTTTCGCTGCCACCGTCAACCAGGCTGCCCTCAAGGAGCTCTTGGCTGCTGATGAGGTCGAGTACATTGAGCAGGATGCTGTCGTCAGCATCGCTGGCTCCCAGACCCCCGTCCCCTCCTGGGGTCTCACCCGCGTCTCCCAGCGCGACCTCAACTTGAGCCAGCCCTACTACTACAACGATGCTGCCGGTTCAGGAGTGACTGCCTATGTGATTGACACTGGTGTCTACACTGCCCACAGCGACTTTGGCGGCCGTGCCACCGCTGGCGCCAACTTCATCACTGGCTCCCCCAACACTGACGAGAACGGCCACGGTACGCACGTTGCTGGAACCATCGGTGGTACCAAGTACGGTGTTGCCAAGAAGGTCAACATTGTCGGTGTCAAGGTCCTGGGAGGTGATGGCTCTGGCTCGACCTCTGGTGTCGTCGCTGGTATGGACTGGGTTGCCCAGCGCGCTGTTGCAGGCAAGTCCGTTGTCAACATGTCCCTCGGAGGTGGCAAGTCCACTGCCATCAACGATGCTGCCCAGCGTCTCTTCCGTGCCAACATCCCCTTGATCGTCGCTGCCGGTAACAGCGCCACAACTGATGCCTGCACTGGTTCACCCTCCGGAGCTGCCAACACCTACACTGTTGCTGCCTCTGACCGCAACGACTACCCAGCCTCATTCACCTCCTGGGGAACCTGCGTTGAGATCTTCGCCCCTGGTGTCGGTATCACCTCAGCCTGGATCGGATCTACCACTGCCACCAACACCATCTCCGGTACCTCGATGGCCTCACCCCACGTTGCTGGTGTTGCAGCTCTCTACCTCTCCTTCAACAGCTTGCCCACTGCCCAGTCTGTCTTTGACAAGCTCACCAGCACTGCCTCCGTTGGCAAGATCCAGGGTAACTTGAAGAACTCCCCCAACCGCCTCGTCTTCAACGGCGCTGTCTAAAAGAAAAAGATACCCACCTTCTGAAAAAAAAAGAAAAAAAAAAACGAATGGTCGACTGGTTCGACTAATCGGATGTACATAGGGAGGAGAAGGAATAACACCTCTTCAATTCTTTTCTGTAAAACGATTGATTCGTTTTTTTATCAACTATCAACAAAAAAAAAAAAAAAAATTCCAAAAAGTATATATTTTATCTATTTTATTCTTAACCGATCAAGTGATAACAAAGATGTGTAGCAATATATTTTTTTAAATAGTCTTGACGGTAATAAAAAAAAAGGCGTTGATCGCCTGGACAAAAAAAAAAAAAAAACGCTATCTTTATATCTTTATATCTTAATATCTTTATATCTTAATATCTTTTTCTTATTTTATGTAAATCCAATCCAATCCAATTTGTGGAGAAAATAAGGATCAGCATTTAAATGCTTCTTTCAAAAAAAAAAAAAAATGTCTGCCCGTGGGGTGGGTTTTTGTTTGAACATGGGTAGGTCTGGTTAACATTGCGGGCAACTTAAATTTCTCTTTACGGACACACATTCATGCGCCACCATCGGAACAATTAGCGAATCACATTAAACTCTGCTCCAACTTTTTCTTTTACCCTCTTTTCTCTCTCTCTCTCTCTCTGTCTCTCTCTCTTCTCTCATTCTTTTAACCCTTGACTCATTCAACAACATTCTTCTGCAGTCATGTCTCAAGTATGTGTTTCTTTTTTCTTTTCTTTTCTTCAATTTCATCCTGTCTAGTCAATGTGTACAAATGGAAGCAAACATAATGGAGATGCATGGAAATCAGGATGCAGAGAATTAAAGCATAAATGAGAATAGGCATTTCACATGTTGATGAAAACGACTTTTAGCACAGGAAGCGACTTTACAGAAAGAAGAAGAAGAAGAAGAAGAAGATAAAATAATACTGATAATAATAATTTTATCCATATTCAACTCAAAAACTTCATTCCTTATCTGTGGTCTTGGATAGATCCAAGTTGGCGATACTCTCCCCTCTGTGACTCTCAAGTACTGGTAAGCGGCTAATTTTTTATCCAATTGTTTCGATCGAGACATTTGTAATCTTTTTTTTTTTTTTTTTTTTTTCTTCTTCTTCTTCTTCTCCAATAACCCGCATGGGACAAACGTATTTATATTTAATCATTGCCTGATCTTATTTTGCCTATCTGCATTGCCTTTTTTTTTTTTCTTATTCTTATTCTTATTCTTTTTTCTTATTCTTTTTCCTTTGGTGTGAATAGCCCATATGACCCAACTTTGAAGGATGCCTGCGGTATTCCTCAGCCTCTCAGCACAGATTCTTTCAAGGGCAAGAAAGTAGTCATCTTTGGTGTCCCTGGAGCATTCACCCCAACATGCAACAACAACCATCTTCCAGAGTATGTTTTTTTTTTTTTTTTTTTTTTTATTCTTTTTTATTTGACTTTGGATCAATTGCAGTTATTTTCGCTTTGGGGAAATAAAGAAAAAAAAGAAAAAAAGAAACTAATATGGAAGTATTAAATAATAGATACTATCAGAAATATCAGGACCTTGTCAACAAGGGTGTAGATCAAGTCGTTTGCATTAGCACCGCCGATGCCTTGTAAGCAAAGAAAAAAAGAAAAAAGAAAAGAGAATATATCATGGATAATCTATCGTCTTTTTTTTTTTTTTTTTTTTTTTATTTGGTCGATCACCCTTGTACTAATCCATTTTTCATTCTCTCCCTCTCTCTCTCTCTTTTTTTTTTTTTTTTTTTTTTTTTTTTTTTTTCCTGTTAGTGTCATGGATGCTTGGGGAAAGTGGACGAATGTTGGCGATAAAGTCATCATGGCTGCTGACGGAAATGGCGACTTTGTCAAGGCAACAGGACTTGTGCAGGGTAAAGAAGAAGAAAAAATAATAATTTATATTCAGCTCGTAATAACATATGAAAGCTAATTAATTGTTCAACAAGAAAAAAAAGAAAAAAAAAAAAAAAAAAAAAAAGCTAGAATACTGATTTTAATATATATTTGTATATATAAACATATTTATATATGAATAGACTTGACCAAGGCAGGCATGGGAGCTGTTCGTTCCAAGCGCTATGCAATGGTGGTCGAGGACATGAAGGTCACTTACATTGGTGTTGAAACCAAGTAAGTTTTATTTTTATTTTTACTTAATTTTATTTTTCATAAAAAAAAAAAAACCCTTATATCCTGTTATAATTTTACTAACCTAATTTCCTCCTTCTTTATTTCCTCCTCAAAAAAGATTTGGTGTCTCTGTCTCCGGTGCCGGAGCAGTTTTGGCAAAGCTGTAAGGTTCATGCCAGCAAACTAGCTAGCCTGTAAGATCATAAATAAAACATATCTATACATATTTATATTATATTATATTATATTATATTATATTATATTGTTATATTATACACAATTGCTCTTTTTTATACAGGTTAGTTGTTACAAAGAAAGCGTTAGAGTGTTGAGTATGGCAAAGAGCTTGCAGATCTAAATGATGTTGCACGTTTGTTTTTTATTTTTTATTTTTTATTTTTTACTGTAAATCCACCTCCCTACAGTGTCTCTTTTCTATCAAAACGAGCCGGAGACCGTGGCTTCGCCACGGCCTGCTCTTGCCTCGTAATAAAATTTAATGCTTACAACGTAGTAAGTTATCTTTATCGTACAAAATAAAATACAAAAACAAAATAAAATACAAAATATAAATGCAAAATAAAATACAAAATATAAATGCAAGTAAAATACAAATAAGTGCTACAAAACAACGTCAGATTGAATAACAATGGAGATGAGCTGAAAGTTGACGTGAATGACTTGGAGATGAAGAAGCAGCAGGATGTCTGAAAATCAAGATATTGTGACTACAATGCGCCCTTGAAGACAATGTTTCTGGTGTATATCCCAGGCTTGGCTTGTACCTTCCCATTCCCGACCAGCACCTTAAGATTGTTTGGGTCAGTACACCGTGATAAAGCAACGTAGAGATGGCCATGACTGAAGACATCTTGAGGAAGATAAACACCGACATGTTTAAGTGTCTGTCCTTGTGACTTATTGATAGTCATGGCGAAGGCTGGCTTGACTGGAAATTGGCGTCTGCAGAACATAACTGGCGAAGAGCGGTCATCAATCGTTGTAAGCGGTATGCGAGGAATGAAAACACGCTCCCCTCGATATTGCCCATTGATAATCTCAGTCTGGATCATTCTTGTGCCCAACGCACGCACAATTATGCGGGTGCCATTACATAGTCCGCGCTTTGGATTCAAGTTGCGGAGAAGGATGACAGTTTGACCGACTTTCAACTCCAGTTTGAATGGAGGCAAGTCTGGTGGACTAAGCTTGTTTAGATATTCTACAGGATAATGGACCGGAGCTGTTGCTTCAGGGTCTTGTAGGCTATCTTGACCAATATAACTGACTGATTGCTGAGTACTACAGAGCATAGTGGTAGCCAATTGGTTTAGCCTGTCTACATCTTCATTGAGAGGGCTCAATATAGCGCGCTCAATGAGTATTTCAGGCCGGAGTCCAGCAGTTTCGATGTCTGGAAATATCTGCCTAATTAGTAGCTTTTCGTGACTGTGATCCTTATTTACAGCTGGGGCGTCAAGGACCAAGTTGTCAGGTATCCTGATATAGTCGACATGAGGGCCAAAACTAACGGTCGGCTCTGTCCCTTCACCAATACGGAGTAGCCATTCGACAAACGCTTGGTTCTCAGGATGGCTGTTAACTCGCATATTCTTGCTTAGTCTGAGTGTCGTCACCGAAGGCCAATATAAGATCTTTTCAATGAAGCATCCTCAATCTGAGCCTGTGTCCCACGGATGACAACCGGAAGTACCTGTCTGAAGTCGCCTCCAAATACAAACACTTTACCACCGAACGGAGTATCCTGTTCCATAATGTCTCGAAGCAGCCTGTCTACAGCCTCAAAACAATGCTTATGCTGCAAAGGAGCCTCATCCCAGAAGACGACATCAGCATTACGTATTCTTACGGCAGCATCTTGCCACATACCAAGATAGCAGATGGAGCGACAGTCAACAGGGATCGGTATCTTGAACGTAGAATGGGCTGTATGGCCGTTATGGAGAATAAGAGAGGCAATTCCTGATGATGCGACAGCAATCACACTTCGCTTATGTCGGCCAGTGAGACAACCAATGAGCGTGTTGTATAAAAAGGATTTGCCTGTTCCTCCTGGGCCATCAATGAAAAAAAGTCTCTCATGAACCTCACCCTTGGCTGCCTTAATGATGTGTTCAAAGGCTATCCTCTGGTCCAAGTTCAAGTGTATCACGTTATTGAGAGCCTCTTGTTCAAATTCCCATTGCTTCTGCGTGTCATCAACTTGATCTTCCTCTTGTAGGGCATTTTCTATTCCTTGAGGCATCTCTGGAAAGTTAGCCAGGCAGGACCCAAGCTCCTTCAGCACTTCATTCAGATCGTAAAGTGCCGAGCTCTTAGCTTGTTCCTCTGCGATACCCTCCGCAGTAGCAGTTGCTTCTCCCTGGAGTCCTTTACATATATGAAGGAAGTCTTCTGACAGGTCCCTTGCAAAGCGAGTCCAAAGAGCCAGTGGGTCAGAGAGACTACAGTTGATCATCATAATACCAAACAGGTGCCGCAACATCCTCGGTAACTGATATGTGGATGCTTCTTCCAAGCAACGACTCCATTCTTCATCATCCTCGAGCAAGCCGCGAGCAAGGGCAGCCGAGTAAAAGGTATCAAAGACCTTGTTGACTTCAGGCACGGTGCGGAGCTCAGCAAAACTCTTTGCTCCTTTGACATGCATAAGCAGCAGCCGAAGACAATACCTTTCGCGTTCTTTTGGCTGGACAAAATAGATTCTAGAGAGAACCCTCGTGCTATTGGTCCTGGCTCTCTCTCTCCATCTTCTACTGCGCTTGTCCCAGGTGTAGTGATAAGGCACATCAGGGTACAAATAGTATTCTGGTACCTTTATATTGCTTGCCGCTTCGGCATTGGCTGCATTTGTTGCTTCTGTCCTCGAAATTTCTTTCTCAATGGCACTATTGAGCTTGAACCATGCCATGAGCTGCGAGTCTTGGGCACAGGAGATGACTTGCTCGAGGTTAGCATCAGGACCGAAGACCACTTGCTGCTGATCCTCCAGATGGACAGGCAGTCGAACAACATTATGGGATTGCCCATGGAGCGCAAAGCCATACATACGCCATAAGCTCTCGCAAGTAGATACATATCGGCTATCCCTGTATTTGCTGACCTCATCGAGATTAACATTTCCTCCATCCGCTGCCAGCCACGACAGCAACTGCTGCTCTATCATGACCCTTGTGCACGTATTTGTAAATATACTTGACTGATGACACTGATCCACAGACTTCAACGTTAATATGAGCGTTATATTTGGTTGTAAGCCATAAATTGTGAGGAACAACCCAAGTGTTGTCGACAGTGTTGCCTTTTGAGTTTACAAAGGAGCGTGCAGGATCATTACGTCGACGATAGTTCGGGTAGCCATCCTCGCTTCTTGCAGTATTTTCCAAAAATGAGCGTGGGTACTTTTTGCTGCAGCTCCCTTCCACCATGCATGGCGCTTTAGAATTATGGACCCCACATGGTCCATGTACCATGTGGGAAGTTACTGTCTCGTACGCAAGCGGGGCACTGTGTCGATCGGGGATCTCTGCAGACACAATAGAGTCAATGTCGTCTGCAGTCCGAGGCTTGCTTCCATCGTCAAGAATTATGAGGAGATGCCGATGCGGCAAACCACGTTTCTGGAACTCGACGACCCAATTGTAAGCAATAACTTTCCCTAGGACATCTTTCTTGAAGAGGTCATCCTCTAGAGCCTTCTTTTTGAGATTAAATACTCGTACGCAAAGGTCAGGCCAATCAGCTGCTGTTTGGCCTTCATAAAGAGCCTCCTGGATCTCTGGCCACTGGGGATTACATGTGAAGGTGATGAAGAGATCTGGCTTGCCAAACTTCCGAACCATGGCAATGGCATCTTGGAACAACTGTTGCATAAATCTGGGGCCTCCAACAAAGGAAGATGGTAAGATAATCCGCTTTCCAATATTCTCTGGCCTGAGATTGAGGTCAATTGCATCTATTATGCCGATATATGCATCCGCTTTGAGCTTAGCTTGATTCATACTGATATATAGGAGCCGAGAAGTTTCCAACTTGTAATATTGGTCGACAATATATTGGTGGGCCAAACGTGGAATCATCCAAATGCAGGATCGTTGATCTGTTGAGCTCATTGGGCGGATTTGCAGTCTATATGCATAGAACTCCCTTTGGCTGACGAACTCTCGGGTTTTTTTTCGTCCGGCTCTCATGAGGTTCCATCTGGTCATCCTCAACATCCTCACCATCGCTTTCTCCAAGAGACCTTTCAGAGCCTAGCTCTGACCCGCTTTCCTTCTTATACTTGCCGTATGTCCACCCACACTCACCATTCGGATGCAAGAGAACGTAGTGAAGGCTGTCGTATGACGGATGAGTCTCGCTGATCTGCTGTAAACCGCCCCTTTTGTATTCAATAACTATATCCCTTCTTGAAACTTGGCTATCATCACCAGGCATCAAAACAGCGATTTCAGAGGACGAAGGGGGACCATATTGTCTCCGTCCTTGGCTCCTTAGGTCACGTTGGGACTCAGCACGGATGACGACCCTTAACTGAGTATCTTGACCATTGACACGCTCTTTAATGTTCTTGAGTAAACGGGCCATCGGGTGATGTCGTTCGAGAAGCTGTTGTAGCTCAATTAACAAACTGTTGTCGAGAGAACCTTCAAAGTACCCATTGCGAATTTTGGCCTGCTCTTCAGGGTCATGAATATGGCTGTGGATCTGTAAAAACTGAGGATCTACACCTTCAGACGGGCTCAGAGGGCCAATCAGGTGAGCGATACCTCCGATAATACGGAAAGTGTACACGCCTTGTTGGCTGTTTGCAAGGCTCCTGGCATGGTTTACTTTCATCGACGTAAAGGACAGAGTACAGTTGTATTGCCGTGCATTATTTCGAATGGCTTTGCTTCTCGCGTCTTGGCCACCAAAGACCTCTAAAAAGCGGCGCGGAATACCCTCCAGATGAGGGATTTTGACTTGACCTCTACCGCAGCACAACGAAAATTCTGGTCGGTGCTTGGTGTTTTTCACTCGTTCTTCAAGGAACATGATAGCATTGCAATAAGGGCACCGGACCATCTGCTCTAAGCGGTGTCTATGGCGCTCGATATTGGGGCCTGAGATTAATTCTTGTTGGAACCTCCTTCTAGCGGTGGGGATAGTATCCATACTATTGGAATATAGAATCACAGATTTTTATTAATATTTTATATGGGCTTTTTCACTTTTTCACTTATCACAATATTTTTTTACACTAAAATAATAATAAGGGGAGGTCGGACTTACTCTTTATCGGGGCATGTGTTTCGGTTATGTCCTGGGCGACTGCATATACTGCACTGCCGTTGCACAGGCCGACAGGGTGACTGTAGCCTAGAGAGCAATGATAATGATGTTAGATTAGAAACGCAATACGTGGTAGTTTATAAATTCAATAAAATGTGAACCAAGAGTAGCTCACCTTCGTCTTCGCTCAGGTCTTTCGCTTTCACCTGGGCCATCAAGGCTAATGCTTCGTCTGCGAGTCGTCACAGGCTCGGTTCGATTCTGCATGGGGTCACTAAAGATAACATTGCAAAAGAAATGGCAATTTAGGATTGAAAAAAAAAATGCATTGCTAAGGATTACATATCGAAACATCAAAATGGAGCTCACCCTTCATTATTTGGACATGTACTTAGAAGCAACTTGATGGTATAAGTTTGGTGTAGCCGAAGGGACCAATGTTTCCTGCGACCGGGAGAGCTCTAAGTTATAGTCTTCTTGAGTAGGACAAACACAGCTGCTCTGAGAAGAACAACCTGTGTTCATGCAAACAACACAGCCAAGCCTGACTGCAAGCTCAGCTCTCATTGCCTCTTCTTTACGTCTTCTTTCTTCCTGTTCTTTTTTTTCCCCTTCTCTCTCTTGTTCAAGGAATTCAAATAGGGCGCACTCGTCAATGGAGTCGTATATCATGTCATATAGCTTCTCTTCATTCTCCACATCCTCTGCTTGCCGGCCTGGTAACTCCTCTCTTACCTCCACAGGCTGTGCTCGGATGATACGTGGTACAGCCCGTCGAGATCGTCGTGCTCGGATGATGCATCGTACGCCTGAAGTGGAGCTGTCCGACGGAGGAACGGCTTTCGAGTGGTTCGAGTCACCATAAATAGAGCGAGGGCACTTGGTAGGCAACTGGCTTCTGGGAGGTGCAGCTGATGACGAACGTGTGGAACGTGTGGCAGCCAACGACGACGAACGTGTAAAACGTTTGGCAGGCATTTTTTTTTTTTAGCAGATAAAATAGACGAAAGCAATAAAAACAAAGGTCTGAGGAAAATGAAAGCAAGGATTCAGAAATATAGGTGCGTTGAGGGATTAAGATTGTAAAACAAAGCGAACAGGTTTATTTTAAATCTACAGTGCATCGTAGACGCGAAGCGATACTTTTTTTGCATGCTGATTTAAAGTTTCAAAATAAGGGTCGTGTCACATGGGCAAAATAAATTTAATTAAGGGACAGCGAATCACATTTTGACTCTATCCGTAAAAAAACAACCGAAATCCAATCACTCTACACTGGATGCCCCATTCTCCAATTAAATGAGACTCTTGCCACCCACAGATTCTTGCTTACCCATGGATGAGTGAATGCTCCAAGCTGTTGCTTATTTATGTTTTGTTCATTTATGATGCTCCAAAAGTTGTCACATAATTTCGCAGTCACCTAATTTTTCTACCTGCTTTAATATATAGAAGACTGATTCGACTAAACTAGGGGGGATTACTATCAGAAAAACGTCCTTGAAACTATACTTGCACCTTCCTCCTCTTCCTCTTCTTCCTCTAGCTCATCTTTAATACTCATTATCTTCACAGTCAACGCTGTAGCTCCGGTTGTCATCATCATCAACACCATCACTCTCATCATCGCTATCATCGCTATCATCTCTAATGGTATCGGCATTCATGACTACGAGGACATGATAGCTTGGTTGGAGCAACCCCTCATCTATATCCGAGCCCTCATCGTATGAAGACTCTGCAATGAGAGTCGATAAGTCGGAATTCATTCCATCGATCCCTGAGTCATTCTCGCCATAGCCTTCATAACCATCCTCATAATAGTCTGAATCATACTCATCGTATTCGCTATACTCATTATAATGCCCATAGATATAACCATGACTATCATCATGACCATTCTCATGAGCATAACTATAGCCATAGCCATAATCATCACCATAGCCATCATCATAGCCATCATCATCATCTTCGAGCCCAGTTTCAACCTCATCTACAATACATTTCTCTCCCTCTCCTTGATCTTCTTCTTTGTCGACGGTAGCTGCCTCCATAGTCATAGTATAACTTTCATTCTCTTCGTCAAGAGTCATATCCGAGTCATAATCCTCTTCTCTTTCTTTGATCCTTTCACATATCATCGTGTCCTCATTCCCATCCAAACTCGAGACACACTCACATTCATCCGAATGCCGAGACCTCACCCAAGAGTCCTGTTGCAGACTATGATGACTGAGCTGCAACTGCGACAGCTTACCAGATACATCTGAACAGCCAATAGGGATCCAGGAAAGGATCGGATCCAAATAAGGAACAGTGGCTCCGTCTTGAAAGGATGGGATGGCTGCTGTCGATGGTGAACTTGGTATGGGTGTTGGTGGCGGTGGCGGTGGCGGTGGCAGTGATTGTGAACGTGCGCTCGAAGGTTGTGGTAGCCACCATCCTAACCGTGATCTGCCACGCCGACTCTCCTGGTCAATCTCGAGTTGAGAATCAGTCTTCTGGCGCTTGGCAGGGCCTTGAAGTTTTAATTGTTGTAGCTCGAGATCATCATCGTCATCATCGCCATCATCGTCATCATCGCCATCATCGCCATCATCGTCACTATCACCACCAGTATTATTATTATTATTATTATTATTATTATTAAACCGGTCCTTTTCACCATCAACGCCGGCAACACTATCACGGCCATCAAGCCATCTCTGCTCCCTTCTGTCTTGTTTCTCAGGCTTGGGACGCTTTTTACTGCCTTGGACTGATCCTTCGATCGCCACTGTTGTCTTATAATCATACTTGACTGACTTGGGCTCTAGTTGTAGGTATCCTCCTTCGCCTTCATCACCCATGAGGACAGGAGCCATTCGGATCTCGCTTGCTACCAAAGTTGGGATCATGGCTAGGGGTGTTTCGTACAGGTCCTTGGCCTCGAGACATGATCCACTCATGAGATGGCCCTTGACTTCAAAGATATCGCCAACGTTCAGGGCCCAAACAAAGTGCTTGTCAAAGTTTACAGTCGAACTCTGATCCCCTTCAGCATATTGGATCACGATTGGTTGATATTTCCCTCTCTCTTCTTCTTCTCCTTCTCCTTCTCCTCCTCCTTCTTTTTCTTTTTCTTTTTCTTTCTCTTTCTCTTTTACTTCTTCTTTGTTTCCCTCCAAGTTCTCTTTTTTCTCTTCCTCCTCTCCTTTCTCCCTTTCCTTCCTTTCCTCGATACATTCGCCTTCGATATAAACCCAGGACGGTTTGCCTTTGTCCTTGTCTTGGATAAGGTAGGGAACTTGCTTGACGATAACCTTCATCCAGTCAGGTGGCAGTCTCGAATGTTGTACCTTTTCTGTGTTCTTGTTCATTCTTGCCTCTTGGAGATCCTCAAGGAATTGATAAGTCAAAAAATTTGTCATAATGTTTTTTTTTTTTTTTTTTTTTTTTTTTTTTGTAGTTTGTAGTTTGTAAGTTCGTAAGATTATTTTTTTCTTCACTTTTCTTTTTTTTTTTTTTTTCTTCAAGGGAGAAATAAAAGATTGATAGTTGACAACAACAACAACAACAACAACAAGAAGAAAAGAGAAAAAAAAAAAAAAAAAAAAAAAAAAAAAGAATAAGAGAGAGAGAGAGAAAGACGGAGAGATAGGATATGTCGCTGCATAATAAAAATAAAATAAAATTCGCTTTTTGTTTCGATTAACGGTTTTTTATTTTATTTTTAATTTTGATCTTTTTTTAATACCACTGTTTAGGTGTCTGAATCTAGAGTATAAAATACAAAGACCAATTGTCGATCTTTTTTTTTTTTTTTTTTTTTTTTTATTTTTATTTTTTTAAAAAAAAAGAATCTTGTCCCCAACCTGGTAGTAATTATAGAATATATATATCTATATTTTACTCCAGACACTTGTGGGGAAGTGGATATAGAGGAAGAGAAAGAAGGAAAGGGGCCTATTGGAAACAGTTGTAGCCTCCCCTATCTTTTCTCTCTCTTTCCTTTCTTACTCTCTTGTCTTTCCTTCGCTCTCACTCTGCTCCTGTCTTTTTCTCTTCCTCTTCCTCTTCAGTGGGTCTTTTGACCTTTTCTTTTTTAGAACAGATGGTGTGGGGTATTACACATTTGGTAGACCCTGAATACAAAATTAGAGCTGTTGTTACTGTTGTTACTGTTGTTTAGCGGTTACATTTATATACATGCATGGATCGTTGGAACAAAGAGGAATGACATGGGACAAAAGGAAATTGTCGAGGAACATTCTTGTTACTCCATCATTGAAACAACCCTTTCCTTTCTTCCTTTTTATTCATCTCATAATGGTTGTTATAATAATACTTAGCATTTATACAGACTCTTTATATCCTACCATAGCTTTCGCTTTGGCTTTTCCTTTCTTTTATAGACCGTAAAGCCTTTACTTAAAGTCGAAAGAAGGTGACAGATGTTTGGAATGTTACATCTTAACATTTGGTCTACTGAGATTCAAGCCCTTCTCTCTTTCCCTTGTATAGATGATCAGAAAGGTGGCTGATGCCTCCATTCCCCCAAAAAAGAAACAGATAAAGCTAAGGCCCAGAGATAAAAAGAGACATAGATCATCATGATCATTGACATCATCAGTGAACCACATTTGTCATCTCAGTACTGAGCCAGGAGACCTACTCAAACTACTTGGCTTGGCATACAGGGTCGCCTACAGCAGCTGTCGAGCGTTGAAAGTGCTGATGCAGTATACTTGGCTCCTGCAGAGTGGGATTGTTCGGACCTCTAGTATATAGATATAGCTACTAAATATTCTACTATAATTACAACAATCTCTCTCAAGCTATCCCATCTTATTCAAGAAGTACTTTCTTTTTTATGCTGTTATTGTAAAGAGACAATATTCGCACTTTATTCTGTATCCTGAACGACTTCCTGCTTATCCACCCTCTTGACTCTTGACTCTTGACTCACATGGCTCGCATGAAATGATATGCGCAATACTACATTCCTTGCACACACTGCATTTGAGCCAATAACCTCCGATCGATTGGCTTGTTTCTGTCAACATTGTCAATCGTGTTCCTTCCCTCAGACCTTCTGCCTCTAAATCTACCCCTAAACCTGCCTCTGAATCTGCCTTGGTTGATGGTTCTTGATAATGACCCACTTGACTGGACCCACTCTTCGCCTTGGATGCAGTGGATGGCGTTCCTACACTCTTAACTGCCTCTTGTACAGCCAAAGGAGAGGATTGCTCGTCTATAGCTCCACGCTGCACCAGGAGCTTCCTGTTGACTTCACTCAAGCCATATACAGAGTGAATACGAGCGTTGTTTGCATTAAGGACCGTCTGCCCGGTGCTCCACTTTAGGTGGTATTGATATTCTTCATCCTTCTGCACAATCTGCCACTTCCGAATAGAACCATCCTCACAGCCTGTAACCAGGTAGTGGCCCTCTTCAAAGACATTCCATTCAAGCGTTTTAGCCTCACCACCTTCACATGGGATTACAATCAAACACTGGCCTGATTTTGGATCCCACACTCGCACTGTCATGTCCAAACTGCTTGAGGCAATGTATCTTCCATCAGACGAATAGGTCATCTCAGTGATCAACCAGATGTGTCCTTTAAACACACATAACATCGACCCTGTTTCCGTATCCACCGCACTAGCCAGTCCTTCCATACCTCCAAGAACCATCTGTTGACTACATGGCGAAAATGCAACGAATCCTAGATAATTGTCAAACTGTGCTTCGTAACAGAGTTCACCCGTTTCTGCGCTCCATACTGGCAAGCCATTGTTCTCATAGCCACGACACAACACTATCTTTCGACCGTCAGGCGTGTATAAGATATAAGAGCCCCAGCTTACTTCATCACTCACTTCATCACTCACTTCATGCTGGAGATCCCCTGATTGAGCACACCAGGCTTTGATATTACCATCTTCATCGTACGAAGCAATCTGGTCGCCATGAGGTGAGAATACTACACACTTTATCTCTTTTTTGTGGCCATGTAATGTGCGGATGAGATCTCCTGTTTGTGTGTTCCATATAGTCACTCTTCCAGATTTATGACCACAGACAATTTGGTGGCCATTAGGTAAGAAATCAAAGGCCTTGATGTCATCCGCGCCTTCACCTTGTAACTCCAAAATATGAATAACTAGTCCTGTACGAGGACTCCAAAGATAGACGCGTGGAGAAGAATGGCAAGAGGCAAGCAACTGACCGTTAGGTGAATACTTAAAGTCATATATATATCCATCGAGGCATTGTAAAACATGGATAGGATGTCCTGTCTTTGCATCCCACATACGCAGTGTTTCATCACTACCCCATGAAGCTATTTGCTGTCCATCTGGAGAACTCCTGACACCACCGATTGTCGCTGAATGGCTATGTAAGTCGTGACTGGATTGTTGCGGTCGAGTATCCCATAGACGTATCGTTCTGTCATAACTGAAGGACGCAATCTGGTGCTTGTTAGGTGAATATGCCAAACAAGTTATTTTCTCAGAGTGGCCGTAGAAGGTATTCATGGGTTGTCCGGATCCCGCATCCCAAAGCCATATTGTGAAACCTATATCGCAAACGGCTATCGCTTCTCCGTTCGGTGAATACTTTAAATCAATGACAAGAGGGCCTTCTTTTACAAGAGTATGAGTGACTTCTCCTGTTTGCATATCCCACTGATATACCGTACCAAAGGCGAACGAAGCAGCGAACTTTCCATTAGGTGAATACTGTATGCGATTGACATAAACACCATGATCCAAACCAAACTTCTTTTGACCAGATTCACCATCCCACACATGCAGCCAGCGATCTATGTAACAACAAGTTATGATTTCCTGGCCATTAGGGGAATACACAACCTGTTCAATCTCATCCTCATGATCCATCAGCAACATCGACTGTTGCCCTGATGTCGCATTCCACAGTCGCAATATCTTATCATCACCGCCAGTTGCAATCTGCTTTCCATCAGGTGAATATGCCACACTTCTCACGGATCCAACATGGCCCTCTAATGTAAATTTGAGAATGCCTGTTTCGGTGTCCCACACTAGCACCGAGCCATCCTTGCTAGCTGAGGCAAGATCCTTCCCGCTTGGTGAATACGTTACACAGCTGACAGAGCCTGTATGACTCACCAATTTGTGAACCAATACACCTGATGTCGCATCCCAAATTAGAACTGCAGCCTGACCATTGCCCCAAGAGGCAATAAGTCTGCTGTCTGGTGAGTATAAAAGCCTGCCTCTTACATTGACCTCTAAAACCAAGAGCTTCTCCCATGTTGATGTGTCATACACGATGAGTGAATACTTATTAGATTCATCTCTGGTCACTGCAGCGAGTGTATTGCCATCAGGAGAATATGTCCCATCCAATACCTGACCATTGGCTCCGAGGAATGGCCACTCTCCAAACTGTACTCCTGCCATCTTTGCTCCACTCAGGTTTGCTTCACGGAGCCAACATTTCTGTAAGTTCACCTTCCTCAGATCTGCTCCTTGCAGCTGAGCATATTCAAGAATACCATGGCTGATATCAGCTCCTGGAATCTGGATGCCTCGTAAGTCTGCTCCGATGAATGACTCGCCTGCTCGGATCAAAATTGTCATCGCATTCGCTGCTGCTATTCGCCACTTGCTATCACTCTTCGAGAGTTCTACATATCTATACAACTGCTCTCTGAACACCGACTCAAGACGGACACGGTCCTCCAGGAACTGAAGAATAGATGGTTCATCTACAAAGCTCCTCCATACTAAAGGTGATGTCTCATCAGCTTTGACCATATCCATTTCCTGCTCGCTCTCTTTGGTGTCCATGCATTCAAAACTAAACACTGAACTAATACTCTGTCGACGAGAAGGTGATGTAGTTGCCTTTGCTTCTTCACCGCTCGCAAACGTATTCATCATCGGTTGTGGCTCAAATATCGCTCGTACCAGACTGTACTCTAGAATAGATCGATGCAGAAACCGATATTGATTGCCTGTACGTGTGAGTGGTGATGCCTCACGCAATAGGTTCCTTCTATTCTCTTTGCTGAAGTATGCTTCTTTCCATGTGCCCTTGTCCTTGGATGGTGAGTACTCCACCACTGGGTTACCACCTTGATGCTTATAGATCGCTATAGCCAGCTCCGCCAGATACTTGATCCCATTCTGTGCAAACCCTTCATCTGTCAGTACTCTGAACATCCTTCTATCTTCTGGTCTCAATGTCTCGCCTAATCGCTTCTTGCCTCGTTCGAGCCATTGCTCAACAAACTGGTCATACAGTGTGACCCTCTTAATCTTGCTGTTGGTGATCTCTTGTCCTGGATCCACCATCCGTGGGAGCACTTCAAGTGACATCGACAGTATGAATGGGTTCTTCACAAGCTCTTGTAAGCTAGGGACCATCTTGA